AAAACATATATTCTAAAAAAGGTCATTTACAATCTTTGTACACGAGATTTCATATTAATTTATTTCTAAAATTCAGAATGATCTTAGTAATGCGTTCAATCATCCGGACTTAATTCCAACCCTGATCTATTGGACTGTTGTCTTTTTCGCCAATTGGTCTTCATTAAGCTTTATGGCTTGATCGAGTACTCCTGAACGATTGAATATATCTCCAAAACATTTTCCCCAACTCTCCAAGCACTGAGCTACAATCTCGAGAGCATATGTTTGCATATCTAATATGTGATTATTCATCTTGGTAATATAACTTGAAGCTGTGAAAACGCATCTCAAAAACTTTTCAATTGAAGCTTGCTAATAATATAATTCAAGGTTAATATACTGTACACAAAATAAAATAAAACAAAATAGAGCATGTACATCCATCAAAATATTGAATATTTCAAAGGCAAACCTGCAATATCTCGCACATCAAGTCATCGTCCAAATAAAGCACAAATGCCAAGATAATTGCCACTATCAACTTCCTCGATTCCCAATTCTCAGTCCCCCGGTAGGTTTTTATCAATGTCGGCACCAACAAACATGCAAGCTGCTTACTGGGCTTTTTAAACAGTGATGATTCGGTGGTCTCATTTTCATTTGCTGAGCTAGAATTATCCTCGGAATCAACAACCATATCCCTCGAGTTTGAGGTTTCAGCGCCTCCTTTTAAAGCAAAATTTATAAGAACTCATTCGAATACGCGTAATATAAATTCTCACTGTTTAACAAACCTGTTGAAGTTGTTGATGGTGAGTCAGAAACAACGTGATTAATTTGCCGTGAGCCTATTTCGAGAAAGAATCAAATGAATATGACGAATCTCAAAAACCAAGCCAAACAAAATAAGTTAGTAATACCTAATTTTGGAAGCGCCGGAAAAAGTGCAAGCAAGAAAAGGAATATTTGTCTGTAGAGGTTATGCGGCTGCAAAGATATTACTTCAACCTCAGCTAAATCATCTTGCACTTTCTTGATCATGACTTTAACTGAATCATCGTCGTCAAGAAACAAAGCAGGTTTACGCGTCAAGGCCTCATATATCGCCTTTCCGATTCCTAGTTGGAAAAATTTGCTTATAATAGGACGAGACTTATATGCCAAGATGGTAAACATATTCCAAAGTCGTAGTTGATTGTGATCGCTATAAAATATTTTCATTTTATGAGGCCACATTGCATTAGTACACGTCAAATTAATATTGCATGTGTTCGCATATGAACTAATACCAACTTCAAACCATTAACATGTTTGATAATATGCATTACTACATCGTCACTTAACAATATCTATTGCGAAAAAAAAAAAAGAAAGAACAAAGAACAGTTAGAAAAATACAACAAAGGTGTCAATATAAAAACCAAAAACGCTTGCATACCGTCAAAGAATCTACCCGACCTTTGAAACGTGATACTAAGAAAGAAAGGCTCAAACAACACCAATGGATCACATCTGGTAACTCATGGTCAGCAAATAAACTTTGAAAATCGGGAACATTTATGGCCTCTTCCAACAATGTTGAGAAGGAATCCAGAGGAGCTCTTTGACAACAGCTTGACAACAACTTTATCGGGAGTATCCGATCATTATCGGTAAGAAAAGGGAAGATGGATGACCATATATGTGGGAAAACGTGTTTTTCGACAATGATGCCGGTACAATCAACCCGGTTATGCCTCGTGAATTGATATAAAGCCTGAATTTTAAATGAATAATCAAATTTCGATCCATATATACATATACACATACATACATTATATTATGTTATTATTATTCAATGACTTTATAGGTGGACAAATTCGAAACATACCATTATTATGTCTTTCAGATGTTCTGAATCGTTGGTCTGAGGTCCTTTGACCAAAATATCACAGAATAGAGGTACTACTCGCTCCTTAATTGGATTGCTGACCATATGTCCTGCGCTGTCACCGAGTGCGGTGACCAAATTTCCAAGGCACCTGGTTGCCATCGTGATTATGTTGGGATCATTCTGGGACATATTTGATTCAAGGATACTTTGTAACACGGCTGGATCAATGTCACTTTGACCAAACATTAGATCGAACGGCATTCCCGCATCAGAATTTACATTCTTTACTATTTGTGCCAATTTGCTAATGAGCAAATCGAGATTCCAATCAGTGAGTGCGGTTCGCTCAAGCATTAAGAAAAAATTTGCAAGCTTTCCCAATTGTTCACTATTTGCATTGGTTTGAATGACGGCCCGAAGTGTTTCTCTGATGTCTTGAGATAGAAAAACTCTTGGATTTACTATCTCCTCAATTTCTTCGTTCATTGAACTGTCGTTTCGAGGAATGCTATCTTCGTTATCTTCGTCACTATCAGTTTCATGCTCTACTACCTCTTCAGGCACATTATCCCGTTCGACGTTATTATTTTCCTCAGGATTAACTTCACTATCTGCAGGTTGATCTAGGTTCATCATACTTGATTCTACGACAACTAGGTTGCAAGAGAACAATTCATTAGATTTATGACTATGAAATATCATGAACAAGGTTTGAGAAAGACAATTTACCATTGTCCACAACAACTGGTTCTGAAGTTACTGACGCAACAGGTTCGTCAATGTCCATCGGTTCCGATTGATCGGTCATGTCTTGATGTCTGTCCCGATAAAAATACCTTAGCGGTTGTGGAAGGTTTTCATCGACTATATTATTTGCTTCTTGGTTCGTATGAGCTAAAGCTCTGGTGATTCGGCGCTGTTGAGGGCTGAGTATTCATGAAAGGAGCGTTTAATATATTATTATTATTTAAAAAATTCTCGTGAGCGCTCAACGTACTCTGTTCCTCTTGATGAAGAAGAAGTTACGGTTGATTGACTACTGTTTCGCCGCGAAGGTCTCCTGTCCATTTCGTCCAACGCGATAAATCAACGACTATATCAGATCTTTGGTATAAAAGATCGGAATTATCAAAAAAATAAAAATAAAAATAAAAATGAAAAATAAGTACTCGCCCCCAAAAAACTAAGCTCAAACTGACAATGATTCAATTATGCCAAAGAATCTATTGATCAATCGATGCCACAGGAATGTGAATATATTAGTATTTGGAAGAACGCTTATGTTGCATAGCATAAAAAAAGTGATGGTTGAAGCACACACCAGAAATTTGCTTCTCACCAGGTAATGGATACTGATGATGCACGAAACGAAAAAAAAATTTGAGAATTCGTCTAAAGAATAATAATCCTCAGTACGATCACCTTCTCACACAACTAAACAACCTTAATCGGAAGTCAGGATAAAGTCGTGATATCAAGAATCAGAAAAATAAAGGTATTTTTAAAACCCTCAAAAAACTTTTTTACCTTTCTTCTTGTGACGATTAGTAGGATACAGAATTCTATAATCATTTAAGTAAAAAAGGTAAAAGGGTATCGATATTAGATAATGGAGGCCTAAAGTACATTTACCTCCGGCGTGGTGTTTCTGACAAAATTCAGTAAGTGTATCGTAACAATCTTCACAGTACAATTTAACGATTGAAAAAAATGCAAGTTAAAATGCCATGACTAACTGCGCACTCATATGTATGTGTGAGTCAAATGATTTTTGTTCCACCACGGAGGATTTACCATGCAATGATGATAATCATCAGATAAATTATATTTGAATTATATTTGGATTTAACATATATTTTAATTAAAAAAACCATTTTTTAAATTCGATAATAATATTATTATTTAACAATAATAAAATTGAACAAGAATTTATTTTTATTTTTGATTCTTCGTTCGTTCTAGAACAAGGTTCAATTCCAATATCAGAAAATCCGATATGATCGTTTGGTCTGTTTAAATTCTCTGGACCGCATGATCAGCCCGAACACGCAAGTGCAAAGATCTCCACGGTGTGCTTAAGATGATTCAACGAACTCGAAGTCTACCATATCGCAACTTTTAATGGAATGACTGATCACATTTTAAATACTAAGCTCATGATCGAAAGAGCTGTCACTACTCCAAAAGTCAACTACCACATATGAATGACGCGTGCTGTTCTCTTTGTTATCTTTTTAGATGCGAAAGGTGTCTTTTGGTATAAAAGAAATGCAATGCAATTTAAATTTGAAAAAGTGGGATAGGTTTAGGAATGTATAATAGTTTCCCACATTAATTAAACGAAAGTCGCGACTAGGTTTAATGAAATAAGTGAATGCTATATTTAAAAATTATTATGCGTGATTAACTTCTTCGTTATTTTAGAGACGTCATGAAAAAAATTTATGATAGAATTGTTTCGTTTCAATATGTCATTCCGTTCTACTATTATTTGTAATCTTCATTACCAATTTTATACACTATAGCCCTAACTTTTTTCTTGATTAAAATACACAGTTTTTACTTCAGAAATTTTTTCAACGAAAACTAGAACATTCATGTCGTCTAGATATGGAGTCCCAGAGGACGTCCAAGAATACTTCGACTCACCAGAAGAAGTGCGATCAAGTTGGTTGAATTGATTCGTAATTCAAATCACATGGTGTTATTTACAGGTGCTGGTATTTCAACAAACACTGGTAAGTCGCGATTCTGATTAATTGAATTTGATGAATCGAAGAAGTAATGTTTGTTTAAAAAAAAAAAAAAAAAATTCAATTAGGAATTCCAGATTTTCGAGGTTAGTTTTGGGGAAGAAAACTTGTTTTTTTTTATAACTATCTCATACTTAATACACATTGAATTTTATCTATAATAGTCCACAAGGTGATTGATTCAGTATGCCAACTTAATTACGCGAAAAAGGAATTCGTGCCACTCGTCCCGAGGTTACGCGAATTCAACCGACCAAAGGTCATATGGCTATTACCAGACTTTATGAATTAGGCCACTTGAAATATCTAATTTCGCAGGTAAGAATATTCGTATTTTCTGAATAATAAATTAAAAATTTATATAGAACATCGACGGATTACATGTTCGAAGCGGTATTCTACTTACTGGAGGAAATTTAAAATTCGTGAAGCATACGATGTCCACACTCACCAAACTTCGCATCGATGCAATTATTGTGGCCGTAAGAAACTCGGAATTTGTGGTTTATCGTTTTTTTTTTTCTAATCTCATTCTAGTATTCAATCGATCCAAGACACAATCATTAACTTTTCTGAAACTATCCCCAGAGAAACTCTTCAAAAAGCCTACATACATTCTCACTTATGCGATCTTCATGTTGTGCTTGGCTCGTCTTTGACTGTAAGTCCAGCAAATGATCTCCCGTAAATTGCGGCCAATAATCTAAAATCTTTAGTAATAGTCAACTTGCAGAAGACATCGTTAGATAAAGTAGCTTCTCTACGTATCTTTGCGCGGACTGACGACGTTCTCGTCAGTATATGTAAATAACTTGGGATTGAGGGATACGACCAAGTCAGAGATCTTGAATTAGATAGATCGTTTAACGAGATGATAATATTGCCAAATGCGACTCGTAAACTGGATATGATTAAAGATGCCAAAGATCGATTGAA